TGTATAATGTAAAAAGTTGTACAAACTGTAACAATATGTTCGAATAAACAGACCTGAGGCATAACCTCACCTTAACTTCAAAAAAAAAAAAATAAATATTAAGATTTAGAAAAACTTTACAAGAGCATAACTCTGTTAAGGTCTATAAAGTAAATAAGTTAATTAGTAAGGAGTCTTTTAATTTTTACTAACAAATAACAGATTCTAAAATATACAATAACTTAAGTTTTAGTACAAAAAAAAATAAAATTAAATTTGAGTAATCCTTAATAAAAAGTAATATAAGATAGCTTATTTTAGAATGAAATAGTTAAGATAATATAAGTACTAATTAGAAAAACCAAAAAGTTTAAATAAAACACTCACAAGCAAAAGTTAGATATAGCAAATAACAGATAATCTTGTAATAGAACCTTTAAATAAATAATAATTATAGTTGTATATATAGATAGTTGTACTCTTACTAACTAAAAATATATTTAAAGATATTACTAACAAATTAAAACCAATTTGGTTAAGTAACTTGTTACAAAATAAAAAAAAACTATTAGAATTATTAAATTTAGATTTTAAATATTGATTTAGAATCTTACTATTTAACAAATTAATTAATATATAAATTAGACTGTTAAACATATCTAATATTTTAATTTATAAATTTAATAGCTTAATAATATAACTTAGCAATTAAAGTAATATTATTATTAAAAATTTTTATTTAAACAATAAAATAAAATAAACTTTAAATTATATATAATTTTAACTAAATTAAATAAAAATTTTTTTATTAGTATATATGTTTTTAGTAACAGTATTTGCATAAAACTAATTTTATTGTTATTTGACAATTTATTATATAAAAACCTTAATTTAAAAATACATAATAACTAACAAAAATGTTTTACAAATCTAAGTAGCAAAAATAATTTAACTAATAGTAATAATATATACTGTATATTATTTATAAAGCTTGTTATAAGTACAAAAGTTATTTTGACAATTGAACAAAATTGCCTAAACCTCGATTAAAAACCAAAATATAAAAGTTTTAAACATTTAAACAAATAACTAAATAATCATATAACTTTAATTATGCAATATAATTGTTAAATTACACGTGTAGCCAATTGTACGCTCTCCTGCAGTGGTTCATTGAACCACAATACCGATAAGTGATTAATAAAAGTCAAAAGACCAAAGAGGTCACCTTAATACCAAAAAGAAAAAATATATATATATATATATATAATTGTTAAAAATATAAATGCTACAAAAAAGATTGACTATAATATTTAATTACATCATCTAATATTTTTTATATATTAAAGTATTAAACATGTCCAAAACTGTCCAATGTTTAATTAAACTTTTGAACCTGTTCAAAACCCATCACTGGGTTAACTAGTCAATAATTTTAAATAATAGCGTTAGCAACTAAGAATATAATGTTGGATGGTCTTCTACGTACGACTTTCATTTATAACATGCACAATTTTTTTAACAATTTCCATATCATTCTTATTATTTTTGGAACTTTCATAATCAATCCAAAATTTTTTTTGTGCAGGTGGCTTAATCCCTTTTTCCTTACAAAAACTCAAATATTTTTTTTTTACACTCCATGTGATAGAACTTTGATTCAATGGATTTAGATGTCGTAATTCTACAGTTGTGAGTTTAGGTAATGCGAATAAAGATCTGGTTTCTATTGTCATTTTTGTATAGGGATTAATTGTAGTCGGTGTGAATAATGTGGAAAGTGTTTTAGGTTGGTGAAGATAAATTTTCGTGACATATCGAGAAAAAAAATGATGAATCACGAATGTTGACGTTGCGCTTGCCATGAATGCTTGTTTAAGTAAAAAAAGTATCAAATTATGTAATCGATTTAGAAAAAATAAGCTTAAGTAGAAACTTACCGGCTGCCATAAGTTCTTTAGTAATACCAAACGATTTGACTGTTTTTTATCAATTACCAAATTTCAAAATTATGATGTTATTAGACTTTAATCTGAATTGAAAAATAAATTTTCTTACAAGTAGGATCATCCATGTAAAAGAAAGAGATCGGTGCAATGGTGCATGCAACCTATTTATTAAATAGATCGTTACTACATAATATGTATGCTGTAAGTGAGAATTGGAATTGGAATTTTTTTAAAATTTTAGGGTTAGGGTATAGGTTTATATAGAATAAATCTTATCTAAATTTCTAATTTGCTTAAGAAATTCCATATCTATAGATGGGGATGAAATTACTCTTAATAAGAAGTTTTGTTGGTGAAATTGGTGAAATTAGTTTTTAATATTAACAATTAATTGAAACTAAGCTAAATTAAATACAATAGTTATTTTAAATTTAATTTATAAATATATTAAAAATGTTGAAATTATTGTTGAAATTAAAAAAAATGAAAATGAATTTCGACCCAAACTATATCCAAATCTAATTCCCACTTGTAACATCTATTCAGGATTTCTCATAAAAAAGGGTTATGAAGTACAGACCCCAAGAAATGATACCGAGATAATTTTTAAAAGTCTGACCAGTCTAAAATTAGAACTTTCGAATACCAATCTCATGTTATCTTTAGCATTGTCAGTTGTGACGTCTTTTGTAATTGTATCATTTTTCGTAACTGCTTGTGTAGAAAATAAAATGATTCGATTTTCTGGTCTAATTTGTGGTGATATCCTGCAATTAGTTGCGATACCAAATGAATCATGAAATAATAAAATCGTGCGACGGAACGAAAAAGCAAATAATCGCATTTTTTTTTTGAAACGAATATCAAAAATTATCAAACCAATAAAAATCCATGATCACGACCTGAAATTCGTTTGATTGGCCAGTTTTGCAGATCAATTTGTAGATCTACATGTGATTATAAGCCAATCAAACCACATAATTTGCAAATCGTTATTTATTTATAATGTTTAAAAAATTATTCTGTGAATCATATGAATTTCTTCCTATGAGTGACGAACATCAATCAACAAAACGAACACGTCTTGACAATTTCAACTCAACAATGAGTAGCTTCCCGGCTTCTTCTTCTGGTGCATTACTCGAAACATCAAAAGTTTCAAAGAACTATGTTCCTGCAGAAATCGGGCAAGATCTATTCTTTCCTTCACATAAGCCGATAAACGATAAACCAATTGGTGATCTACACAATGAGACAAAGGTACCTATAAAAAAATTGGTGATTAGGACTTTAAAAGGTATGTCCTCCGGATATTTCAATGTAATTTTGTCTTTTATTGCTGAGTTGTATTTTTCACGTATGAATTCTTATTAAAACTATTGCAATTGCATTCATTCCTTAGTTAAACCAAAATTACCTGATAATTTTGAAGAGATTACATGGGCTAAGCTCCAAGCAGCTATTCGTGCAATTCATAATTATCTGCCCGTTAATGATAGTCTTGAGGAGCTCTATAAAGCATGCGAAAATCTTTGTCTGCACAAAATGGCCGACAGACTTTATTCAAGACTTCAAGAAGAATGCGAATCACATCTTGTAAAAGAAAAAGAAAAACTTGACTGGTAAATATATGATTTCTAACTTAGTTATTATCGATCTGCATATTTTTTTTCATTTGTATAAATTTACCCAAATCTAAAAAAACCAGCCATTTTCAAATGTATAGTGATAACTCTGATGATGAGGCTTTCCTTCAAGTGGTTGATCGATGTTGGCAAGCACATTGTGAACAAATGGTAGTTTATTAAATGTGTAATTCATTCAATTTCCATAGTGTAGCATTCAGATTGTTGATTTATCGAATCTGGGAACTTAGGGTTTAATTCGAAGCATATTTTTATACCTTGATCGTACTTATGTACTTCAAACTCCTGGAATTGCTTCGATATGGTAATATTGAAAACTATATATATATATTTATTTATTTATTCATTAATAAAATTAATCATTTTAAGTCAATTTTAGGGATATGGGGATCGAATTATTTAGAAAACATATAATGTCATCTAATGACGTACGACAAAAGACTTTGAATGGTTTACTTTCGCTGATCAAACGTGATAGGTAAGACTCTGACTAATTTTTCGAGTGGATGTGTCCAATAGCTATGAAGCTAAAACTCACATATATATATTATTAGGGATGGCGAAGAGGTTAATAATCGTCTGCTGCATTCTTTAATACATATGTATATCGACCTTTCTGTCTATTATAATCGGTTTGAAAGTCCATTTCTACAAGAGACTCGTAATTATTATTATCAAGAAGGACATCGACTTGTAACTGAGTACTCCGTGCCAAGATATCTTGGACATGTTAAGTCGCGATTATATATGGAATGGGAGCGGGTCAACAACTATTTAGACAAAAAAACAAGGAGTCCTTTGACGAAAGTTGTTTATGATGAATTGATCAAAAGACACGTTGATACTATTCTGGAGAAAGGTAAATAAATCATGATCAACTGTTAAATACATTATTGTCTAACAGCATACTATCTAAATGCATAATATCTAAATTCATATACTCTATAAGTGCATGAAAAATTTGGGGTTTTTAACTATTATTTAAAATCGTTCTTACAGCCTAAATGCGGATGCATGAAATTAGATAGTTTCGATTATGTATGACAAACCGATTTGCTTACACGTATTCAATTTTTATTTTTCACTTATATTAGGATTCGCTGATATGATGGAGGATGATAATGATAATGATGACAGGCATCTAAAAGAATTAAAACTTTTATACCAACTTCTATCAAGAGTAAATGCACTTGACCTTTTGCGCAAATATTTCGGAGATTATATTAAGGCAAGAAATTTATAGTCATAAAGTTTTGTGATTCTTAATTATTTTAATAATATTTGGTTTACTTAAACAGAAAACTGGTATAGCTCTTGTCAACGATCCAAGCCAAGAGCCAGCCATGGTTACCGAACTCTTATATCTTAAGGCTAAAATGGACGAAATTGTTTCTGGAGCTTTTCAAGGAAATAATACTTTCAACTATACTGTGAAAGAAAGCTTCGAAATGTTCATTAACCAACGTCAGAATAAACCTGCAGAACTTATAGGTGCGCAAACGATAACCTAAACTGTTAAAATATATATATATATATTTTATGCACTTTTGATAATATTTTATACAATTTATTTATGTTCAGCGAAGTACGTAGACCAAACATTACGGCTTGGAAACAAGAGTATGGATGATACAGACATTGAAAGGACGTTGAATGAAGTGCTGGTTCTGTTCAGATATATTCAAGGTAATTAATTATATGAGCGATTATATTCGATAATACGTGTAATTTTTACTAATTATAATAAATGTCTAGGCAAAGATATATTTGAAGCCTTCTATAAACGTGATCTTGCTAAACGTCTTTTACTAAACAAGAGTGCATCATTCGATTATGAGAAGAGCATGTTATCAAAATTAAGGAAAGGTTGCATTACTCTTTACTTTTTACTCCTATGTTACAGTTCTCTGCTGTATAATTGAGCTGTCACTGCTTAAAATATCAGCAAGTTTTTGCCATTGATCTGATCCTGATAGTCTAATCCTGATTGTCAAGTCATAAAATCCCAGCGTCGCCAATAATCGACTGCAATACTTTGATTAATATCGATGTCGAATGATTAGTAATATTAATAATAACGTAGGGAAACTATGTAACTGCGCTGTCAATTATTGGCTACACTGGACAATGTCAAGCCAATTCAAATGCAACTATTAGGACCGATCGATGGTTAAATTTTGCAAATACAAAGCCTAAATTCCCATATATGTATTAATTACCATTTACGATAAATTAATAGAGTGCGGTCCGGCATTCACAAGTAAACTAGAAGGCATGTTCAAGGACATTGATTTATCAAAAGATTTCATGCAGTCTTTTGAGGTTTGTTGATTTATTAGTATTAACATAATTTATGGTTTTCTTTATAAATTAATGAAGAAAATGCATAGTGACGTTCTTTTCTACATTCTTTTAGAATTCCAAATCTGGAGAGCTAATTAAGGAATACAAAATTGATTTATACGTTAATGTTTTGACACAGGGATTCTGGCCTTCATATCCTCCATCACCACTCAACATACCACCAAATGTTAGTAGCAGGATTATTTATATTTCGTCCAATTTGATTATATTATTATGAATAATTATTGAACCGTAGTTTCCAAAAGGTGGTCCATTGTCAGCAAATTTTCAGAGATTTTTATCTTAGCAAACACAATGGAAGAAATTTAAAGTGGCAAAATTCTTTAGGCCATTGTATGTTGGCGGTAGAATTTCCAAAAGTGAGTCATTAATAAATTTCAAAAAGGAACGTATTTTTGAGTCCAATTACCTATATATTTATTTGTTATTTATAGGGAAATAAAGAATTGGTAGTCAGTTTATCTCAAGGGGTGGTTCTACTGCTATTTAACGATTTGCCACAAGGAGGAAGGCGAACTTACGATGAAATAAAGGAAATGTCTGGAATGGGTAAGGAATGAATGTATATAAAATTTACACGCATTATTTATTATTTTCAATTGACTAATTTAAAAATAATAGAACCAAAGGAGTTAAATCGTACTCTACAATCCTTGGCCTGTGGTAAAGTTCGAGTTCTTGTAAAGTATCCGAAAGGACGTGATATTTTTATTACAGATGAATTTTCTGTTAATGAAGAGTTTGAGGCAAAAATCTTCCGCATAAAAATAAATACTATACAATTGAAAGAAACGGTACGTCTTAATTACAATAATTGTTTTCTTGGTCGTTGCTAATTTTGGAATGTTTCGAATGGTTTCCATTTTACAGAAAGAGGAGAACGCGATGACCACAGAGAGTGTTTTCATGGATCGTCAACACCAAATAGACGCTGGATTAGTTCGTATAGCAAAGATGCGCAAGACTCTTTCTCACAATGATTTGGTCACAGAGCTTTTGGGAATACTGAAATTTAAACCTCCGGTAAATATTATTTATAAGAAATTAAGGCATGAAGTTCCTCGACTAACCTGTATTATTTAATATAGATGTCAGATATTAAAAAACGCATTGAATCATTGATAGATCGTGAATATTTAGAAAGAGATAAAAGTGATCCTACAAAATACAAATACTTGGCTTAGTTGGGATTGTGGCTCGATCCATCTTTTTTTTTTGAATTATGACATTACTACTTAGTTTGGATTTGGAAATCAGATTTCTACTTAATTGGGTTCATAACCAGAACTAAAATATATATTCCAGTTTCGATCAATAGCGTCAAATTTAAAAACCAATCAATTTGTTAAATTAATGACAATAAAATACAACATATGTGCATTTAATATCAAAACTAACCAAGAACGAATTTTATAAGCAGAGATTAAGGTTGAATAGATCTTCATGAGTGCTGCAAAGAAAACCTGTAATTCATTTTTCGGAACTTTCATTTTTACAGGATACGAGCTTATCACCCTTGAAGAATTTAATCTGATAGTATATAAGTGAGATGAGTCCTTACGTACGATTTTACTGCAATCAGGTCATATTTTCCAAGAATCTGATAAGCCTGTATTTGTAAGTGAATTTTCCGAAAATCAAGAATTATGGATTTTTGCTTTGCGACTCTCAATACAAAGACGGATAATAAACCTTATATAATAGACTTTTGTAGTAATAGGTTTTATTTATAAGTCAAATGAATTAGGCAAATTTTATTAGTTTTCGAATTAATGAGGATTTTTATTGTAAAATAACAAGGGAACGCTTATTTCCACCATGTTTTTCACACGACTTAAGCTACATAAACATGAACATATTATCATGATAAATTATGTCCAATGGTGGAAATAGGCGTTCCCTATAATTAATATATAGTAAAAATATAATTAAAATATATTTTTTATATTTTTTGCCTATTAAGTTTCTTGTAACTAGCTATTAATTATATAATTATTATATAGTAAAAAGGTTAGAAAATAAATATTTAAATTTTAAAAATAAAAATATAAATATTAAAGATAAAGTTAAAATTAAAATAGTCAAATTATATATAAAATTTATCAAGAAATTTTTTTGCTATAAATAATTTTTTTAAAAAATATAATTATTTTAAATTTTTAATATATAATATAATTATTTATTTTACTAATAAATAGTATTACTAATATTATTATATATAATAAACAAATAAAGTTATTATAATAATTATTTAATTAAATATTTATATTTTATTTTTTTTATATTACAGATGATCCTTGTTAATACAACCTATTTAGATCAGACAATTTGGTTGATATATGCAGGGGTTGATAATAAAGAGGGATTGTATTACAACAGTTTTAACCAATCAAAAAATATTTCAAAGACACTAGTATAAATTTTAGAATATATGGTATATACTTATGTATTATAAATCGTCATATACAAGACCTGGATCCATTATCAGTTTTAAAATCATAATAATCGAGGGTTTGTAAGAAGTAGAATCTTAAGATATATACATATTAACATTCAGTCTAGATATTTGAATAATGCTTTAAAGATCCTGTAGGTTACCATCAAGTCTAATAATGATAGTGCGTCTACTATCAAAAAAGTTCTTTTATATAGCGATTTACAGTATGTACATACTATTAAATTCATATTTTACTTTTTACATGTTATTTTGGGCATTTCAAATTATATATTCAGATCATAACTATTTTATAAATTACAGATCTTGATTGCACTAAAGTATTTTTAAATCACTATTTCTATTTCCTTTAGTAATGAAATACTATAAGTTTAATAATAATAAAGTTATATGAAGTTATATTGTTATGTAACAGATAAAAAGGAGAAAAATAAAATTCTAATATAAAAAAAAAAATAAATAAATAAAATAAAAACAAAAGAAAAAAAAAAAAGACATGTATTGTAGTCTATTTTACTTTTATATATTCTTAAACTATTTCTAATTAAAATCAAACTATTTTTTAAAAAAATCAGTCACTTTTTTTTGTATTTTTGATTGAGATACATTCAATTGAATTTATTCAATAAACTTAGCTGTTAAGATAGGTCTTGATTCTTAACAAATTTTACTGATTCTTGTTGTTCTACATATTGTATAAGCAACTTACATTGCTCCAAGGTGACAGAATGAGAAATTTTTTCAATTTTAATATTATTTTTATCATTACTACTATTAGAATTAGATTGAGAAAGAATTTCTTCAAGAATAGCAACTTCATTCAAAACAATCTCTTCTATTTCAAGATTATTATTAGTTCGAATATAATCACTAGCAGCCATCATTCTTATATAATTAGATGAGATTTCTGCAATAAGGTTTTTTATTTCTACTTCTACTTCAGCTTCAGCTTTGATTTCACTTTCAGCTTTGACTACACCTATAGCTTTAGCTTCAACTTTATTTTCAACATCAACTCCATCTTCAGCTTCAACTTCAGTTCTTGCTTCAATATCTTCAACATTCTAATTTAATCTTCTTCACTCACTTAATGCACTATTTCAGTTTTTCTTCAACAATTAATGATTGTTTTGGTGGTTACATTGTCTTATGCTTTCTTAACAAACCTAATTGCAGTAATATAAATTTGAATAATGGTAAGAAAAAAATCTGTAAAACATGCTTTTTGAATTTGCTTAACATCTGTTCTTAGTTATTTGGACAGTTTTTTGATATAGCAACTGTAGTGTTAAATACTACTAATGTGATTTAACAATGTTGATATTCAAAAAGCATAATTTATAAGTTTTTTCTTGCCATTACTTATTTATAAAATTTTTTTATTAATTAGTTAATTCAATTCTTAAATGATTGATTCACTAATTTTATTTTTTTTTTTTGGTTTTTTTTTGGTTTTTTTTTAATATTTTTGGTTTGTATATTACCTTATTGCTTCTAAGACATTAAGGCAAGATATTTCTTTCTCAACATCGATAGTATCTAAAATACTTTGAAGATACAATTTTTGATAGTGAGATTTAAATAAATATATAATTCCAGCATCACATGGTTGCAAATAAGGTGTTGTATAGTGTAATATTATAGATATTTTTAAACATTATTTTATATTATTTTATTGATATTATATTAGTTTTATATTATAT